GCCACTCAGAAGGCTGAAGCAAGAGCATCACTTGAGACCAGGAGTGTGAGCTAGCTTGGGCAACATAGCTTGACCCTGGCACTTTAAAAAAAAAAAGAAAGAAAGAAAGAAAGAATCCCAGCCTTGATTGCTGGCCACATAAAGCCACTGTAAATCTCCCCAGGAAACAAAAGTGGGTTTTCGGTTCTTGAAATGTGAAATGAAAAAGCATTAGAGGATTAGAAGTGGCGTCCCCCAAAGCAATTAGATTTCAAGCTCATTTAAACAATAGGTGCTCTAAAATGTGTTCCAAATAACTCCTTGTGCCCCTATCAAACGCTGCCCAATCATTTCTTGCTCCTCTGGCTTACTTCGATTTTAAAATGAATGCTGAGTTTTAAGCTACCACCCTACTGTGCTTAGTCTCCCCTCTACGTGCCTGCTGGCCAATTCATGCAACTACGACAGTAGTTCAGCTGGTCAATATGTAACTGAAGAAAGCACTGACCTTTAAGGAAGAGGTGGTCATGAAGTGGAAAGATACTTCACGTGGGCAGAATAGCACTTTCACAAATGGGTTGATTCCTCAGCAGGTTAATTTCTACATCGTATGTTTATCCTTAGAAAATTTACTCCATGTTCACAACTGTACCTTCTATGATTTCCTGATTGTAAATCACACGCAGAGAAGAGGAGAATCTTTTCTACATCTGGCAGTGCTGAAGGGGCAGGGCCTTGGCATGCTGGTTCTGCACTGCAGCCCCAGAACTGCTCCTCTATCTCTAGTTAGAACATGACAGTCAAAGTTACTTCGATGTAAAGCATGTTCTCTTTGACCAGGTTAGTAGACAGTTTGAAATTAGGATTACCTGCCTCTTGAAAACTGAGAATTACTGTGTTTTCTCTATGCTGTATCTAATGACAGCTCTCGCCTATTAGGAGCAGACATATACTACCATTTCAAAGTTCTTCTCTTCTCATACATAGAGGATTGATTGTGAATTTGGGAAAGCTCCTAATCAAGTGAGCAACATATAATTTGATAACCATTACAGAATAATGTAATTCTATAACAGCTCATTCATCCAATTCTTTGATTACTTCGTTCACATTCATTCTTGAAATGTTTATTGTCAACTGTGCAGAGCTGTAGATGCTAGGAACACAGTAATGAGGTAACAAAGAAAAACCCCTGCTCTCATAGAGCTTACATTCTGGTTCATCAAAAAGCACCTTCAGCCAAAAGGCAAGTACTCAGACGTAAGAGGAAATATTGAGAAAGGCTCTCCTGGTCTGAACCCCAGAAAGGATAATGACTACAATCAGTGTTTCATTAACATTTCTAATGTGTTTACTTTTACCCAAAGCAAAAAAACAACATCCATAGTTTATTCATTTCCTTGCAGTTATTCTATGTCGTTGCCATTTTTCTCCAATGTACACTTTCTAAATTTCTAAAACATTTCATTATTCCTTGAAGAGATTGCGATAGAGGTAACAGTTGCTCAGTTTCTAATGACCCTGATGATCAACAGTTATGAAAGGAAGCGATGGTCTTCAGGTCTTCATCAGAAAAAAAAAAAAAAACTGGCTACAAAACTATAGTACAGGACTCCTCGCTACTGCTGGCTCTGTGTGACCTAACGCCTTACTGGCAATGCCTGCACCTGAAGGTTTATTGCTCTCCTTCCTGCTGTCCCACCCCACAAGCTGCTGAACTTCTGCTAACCAGCACTACTATGTGGTATCATTAGGAATTGGACTTGCCCCTCACAGAGACTAGTGCTAATACCTACTTGGTATTGCTGTCAATTTAGTTACAGATAAGACATTCTGGGTTCTTCTACTGATCTCTCATTTCTTGTCCATGCCCTTAGCCTCCCTAACATGATCTACTCAAGAACTAGGGTCAGTTATTACTGGTAAGCTGACTTCTTCCAGGGTTAATGTAGCCAGGTAGAACATTCAGTAAGCTCAGTGAGCCCATCTTGTCTTGGGCTTCTCTCTCTTCCTGACACAGCCAACGGCAATGTCTTCACTCTCACAATCTGAACCTTGTTTTACCCTTTTGTGCACACATCACAAGCAGTTAAGAAATCAGTAAATATGGCAGAGTGATAAAGATGAAAAGCTAGGAAGAAAAACGCCAACTTAGCTGTGCACAGGAGAAAGATCCAATCACACCAGATGACACAGCACCTATGCATTATTTCTGAATTTTTGTTTCTATGTTTACTCAACAATTTTTTTGTAGGGTAGTGGGGAGGGTTGACACAAGCCCAGCCTGGCCTCCAAATTGCTATGTAGCCGAGAATGACCTTGAAATCCTGATTCTTCAGCTTCCAATCTCCCTAGTGCTGGGATTACAGGTGTGCAGGACCACATTCAACTTTTTCAACAGACATTTATTGAGTTCTTCTAAGTTATAGGAACAGCTGAATTTTATTATTGTTTTTTAATGGAAATACAGTGACATGATTCCAAAAAAGGGATGGCAAATCTCTGACATGGAGATCATGTTTAGTCTTATACTAAATTTTGTCTGACTCAAAGAAAAGGTATCAAAACAGGCCTTTAACCATCTTTAAAAGCACTGAGAGAAAGAAAGAGAAAAACATAATTCTAGGAAGAGAGATAGTTGCCGTTTTCCTTTACGGCTGTGTATACTTCTCATTGTCCCTGTTTTTTGCTCTGATTTTCTCATATTTATTCTTCAGCCTTTCCTTAACTGGCCACAGTAGGACACTGTGACGAATATTATCTACTGAATTATGTTCCTGTTTCCAATATAAAAACCAGACCAATTAAACATTTCATCTTTGCAGATAAAACATGCAAAATAAGAAAAATTAAAAATTTGTTTTGAGGGGCCTGGGAAGGTATACAATCCTTGAAATTTCTTATCAAGATTATGCACACAGGTATCAGTATACTGAAATTCTATATTCATAAGTGTAGGTGTTACATTAAAAAATGTAACAGTGTTAAGAATCAACACAAAAATACAATCAAATTACATAAGGCATAAGTATAAAAGAGAAAAAAATACTTCGTGGAAAAAGTAAATTCAATCTATCAAAATAACCATTTCAAAAAAAATATAAAGGAATAGAAATAAATGCATTCCAAGAAAGAGTTATCGATTTTTATACACTGAAAATAAGGATTGTTTTCCACTTCTAATGCCAGACTTTAAGTAGATCTTGTCATATTTCTTTCATAATTTGCACTTTACAATTTCTTCAGTGAGTTCTATGAATTGTAAACTATTCAACGATTTCCCAAAATTAAATAACTTCCTAAATACTATGTAATCCCATCACATAAGAATAGCACAGTAACTTTTCTTTACCACACACATGAAAACTATAGTTAACAATTATAACTTGTTCTTTATTTGTTATCTTTCTACACAAATGATCAACAGCCTTACCAGGAAATGGTATACATTGTGAATACAAGTTTAGTAGACTACTGATTGGACTGTTACGGTGCAAGAACTTCTAGAACATGATATCACGTATTAAGTCATTAATTCCAAAACAATCATTTATTGACAAAAAAGTACAAATAAGTACAAATGAACATCCTACCCCATTATGGTCCATCTATCTAACTCCCTTTTAGTCTCTGACATGGTCTTTTGGAGCTGTGAGGAAGGATAAAATATTTCTCCTGTTTGCTAATAATCCAGTAATAAGTTATATAGTCCATGTCATCATTAATTTAGCTATATGAGTTACCAACAAAACATCTTCCCTTGTGATACACCACACGTCTAAAGTGAACAAAATATTTCAGTGTCAACATCCATAAACCATGGTTAGACACAGGTAATAACACATCTCTAATGTTTGCTTTGAAGTAACAGTTCACAAGTGAAAGTCACAGGTGTCAAAAATATCGTTAAGTCATGTACTCACTTTAAGCAGTCAAAACTTCTCACTAGCCAAACAAGATAGAGGTACATGGGAAAATCAGCTTGTTAGTTGTGCTTTGTAAGCTGGTTATGAAATCAAAACTCCTCACATATCTAATCTTATTGCTGATACTTCCATTTGTTCAAGGAAGATTCTTTTTCAATTTATCTCATCCAACATACTTAAGGTTGGTTCCTTTATTTCTCTAACAAGCCTAAATACTTCTCTGAATCATGCCAATAGTTTGTGATTTCTCTCACAATTCTTTCTAAAATAGTAGTACAGGGGGGAGAGTCAGTAAAGCATCATGTTCAATAAATCCAGGTGCTCTTCCTATGGCCACTCATGACAGGACATGTGGCTTGGCTGCCTGGTGTCTGTATTCCCCTTATGTGCACTCCATCAAACTCTAAGTTTCTGAGTGGTAAATTCTAGCCTTTTAGTTTGTGGGAGCCAGGTTAGAATTTAACCCTGTGCTGTACATCTTACCTAGAACTATTTCCATAAACAACATGAGGTCAGTGTTAGACTAACATGGGGGTGAGGTACCAGTGAACATTTTAGAAGAGCTGGAAAATTCAGATGACCACTCACTAAACATAAAATAATCATTCCACAAAGATTTTATTCACAGTAAACTTGCACAGTAGCAAAAAATAAAATAAAATAAAAATTTAAAAAGCCAAAACATAAAACTAAGCCACATTATTAAAGAACAATATACAATAGATTTGAACTTCTCAATGGCATTAGAAGGTATGTCAATAAATAACATTTACAATTCTAGTGTTAGATCTTTCAAGGTGTCTAAAGCTTCACAGTGCTAAAAATGATTTTTGTCAGAACACATGCAAAAGTGTGCAACATAATGATCCATGTTAATGACACGAAACAGCAGGCCAGTTATTTATCATTCCAGCACGGCCATGCCACTCTATGTTCTAAAAACAAACAACCCCCCAAATCCAGGTCCCATTCATTCTTCAATTCTGCCTTTTGTCACTCTGTCACTGTTAGTGCTCTTCACCACGACTTTCAGGTTGACGTCACTCCCTGCCTGCTGGCTGTCAGGACTGGGGGACGACCCTCTCCCAGACTCACCTTCTTCCGGATGTCTTCATCATTTGCTCCAAGAGAGGCATAGAGCTTGAACGCAGCCTGGCGGAGTTCATGGGCATGTTTTAAGTCATGATCAAGCTACAACAAGTGGAGAAAAATGAATTAATTAATCCAAATTAATACCTAAGTTACATTTTAATAAAACGTAACACAGTAAAATAAGAAACATAAAAATAACAGAGTTTCAGAAAAAGTACCGACTATTAGCACTGGTACTGTCACTAAATGAATTTTCTAATTATTTCTGATCGCTGTTCACGTTTGAGATCTTGCTGTGTCTATGCCAGAATGACTTAAAATGCAGTCTCCTGTCTAAAGTGACTTCCATAGCTTCTGGCACTGTTATGTTAAAAAAAGAAAGAAAATAACAACAACAACAAAAACCTGCATGCTGGACTCTACTTGTAGAGTCCAGTGTTCCAGATGGTAGTGGCAGCGCCACTGACATTCGCTTCTATTAGCCCCTCAAAGAGGGTCACAAAGAGAAAGCATGCCTAGACTTGCACAGTCTCTGATTACAAGTTGAACAAACTGACTATTATACCACTGTTCTCCTAATTTTGGCATTTTAAAAAGCTTTTAGAGATAGGAACTGCTCTGCGAAAACACTCAGCAAACAACAGGCCGGGTCATCATCACCATCAATTAGGTTTACGTCCAGGGCTTTTAAAGAAAACTACAAAAATGAATTATTAGCATGAGAAATTACTGCTATCTTTAAATATGCACAAATAATTATGTTAGCAATTCTTCCACAAACCTATTTTCCTAACAAACTACCATAAAATTAAAATAAAAACATTTTCACAGGATACTTAACTATGAATTGCAACTATGCAAGGCGTAGCAATAACATTTTAAAACATAAGTCATAACTTACTGATTTAAGTGAACACCTCCTCCCAAGGGCCTATTTTGGGCAAGTGAACTTTTCCCTCAGTCTGTAGTATTTTCACAACACTATGAAACCCTTCTCTGAAGCCTCCTAAAGCACTAGTCGAGTCACCTACGAGCCAGATGGTGAGAGCTTTGTCCTCAGCATGGGAAGTCAGCTGCCATTTGTTTGGACTTGGGAACAAAGTGCTCCACAAACACAAGGAGAGCAGCTCTCAGGACACTCAGAACGCTGCACAAGCTCCGGCATTGATGGCTCGCTGAAGGGCTCCACTGTCAGCACTTGCTTAGCTCTGAGGTCTAGAGCCCTCAAGTCTTCATCACATTCCAACCGTAACTCAGCCACAGAACACAGGTTTGGACTGATATATCAGAAAAATCATCCACTATTAATGTGAGAATTTCCCTCTATATGTTTAATATCTATACTTTCATAGCTAAGACATTTTTGGATAATCCAACAGCAAAATTGAACTTTACAAATCAAATTTCCACTAATGTTTATCATTTGGAGGTCATTTAAAAATTATTCCAGTTTTATGATGAAAAAAATGAAATGGAAAAAAAGTCTAAATACCAGGCATCACCTTCCATATGCAAATTAAGTATGTTACATGTGCTTACATTCAAAGCTTTTAGTGCAGCTTCCTTGGGGTGTGATCATTTTTCTCTTTGCCTTACTGGGAAGGAAAGCTCAGGTGTTCAGAGACCAGGCTCAGGACTCACTTGCATGTTTTGTATTGGTGACATATTTTATCAGTAGGAGCAAATGCTCCACAGAAACAGATTAGGCCATGTGCCCATCACTAGGAAAAGCATGCTACCCTTGGACAAGTGGACACATAACTTTGTTTTATTTTTGTTGTCTTTTTTTTTTTTTGATAGGGTCTTTTATTATGTAGCATGATTTAGCATCAAAACCACTGTCCGGCTGCCGTAGCCTCCCAAGTATCACAATTACATACACATGTCATCACATCTGGCTCCTGAGCCATGACTTTAAACAGGGCAGTGCATGTAACAAATGTAAGCATCACTGACAGCTATTTCAGAGAAAAGACATACGTATAACTTACTTTCAACATTAAATGACAATCAGGCCACTGTCTGATGGATGAGTGGCTTCAAAAGTCAGAGCACGTGAGAGGTGAAAAGAGCAGTCATTCTTGAGACTGTCATATTCATAACATGGTCTTGACCACAAATAAGTCATCATCTTATCTGCCATGACCTCCTTAAGTAAGGTTATGTTAACAGATTCTCTTAGAGAAATAGATATGGTAAACAGGCTGAGGGGCAACAGCTCAGAAGAATACCAAACTCCAAGGAGCTTTATTTTCAGAAAAATAAACATGGCTTGGTCCTTACTGGTCCCAAACTGAGGTTAATGGTTCTGTAGCATTTAACTGCACACTAAAAGCACAATGAAAACAAAATGAGGAAGACAGAAAAAGGGAATAGAAAAGACTAAATGGACAGTAAACTGGGACCAATCAAGCAAAATAAGAAAAATTGAATCCTTGATCTAAAAGAGAGAGTGAGTGAAGCATAAGAGATGATTCTGTAATTCTGAACTGAATTAGATATGATATAGTACCAACACACAACGTAGGAACCCCACTATTTTGGAGATTTCATTAAGGAAGCCAAGAATGTAGTTTCTCTTCTTCTTGATTTTGTGCTTAGTAAAAAACGATCTGATAGGGGCTGGAGAGATGGCTCAGAGGTTAAGAGCACTGTCTGCCCTTCCAGAGGTCCTGAGTTCAATTCCCAGCAACCACATGGTGGCTCACAACCATCTATAATGAGATTTGGTGCCCTCTTCTGTCATGCAGATGTACACGCAAAACAGAGCACTCATATGTAAAATAAAGAAATAAAAAAAAAAAAGGCTTAAAAAAAAAAAAAGACCTGATAATATACAGTAAACGAACTGGATTTTCAAACCTCACAAACTATCTATGTTAATAAAGATAGAAGATTCCTTTATTTGAATGGACTCTCAGATGGAATTATCAATTGTTTCAAAGCTGTGCACAGTAGGAAAACTTTAAAAATCCAGAAGAACATACCCTTTTAATGTCAGTGATGGCACTCACTGAGCTGGGATACTTGAAATAGTCAGCAAGCATGGCAATGAGGTGATCGGTTATGCTAGCGATTCTCTGTAGCTCAACATCTGGCTCAATCAGATAGGCGAGTGTCTCAGCTCCTTCAACTCTCTCCTCTAGTAATCTTTCCTTACTGCACATTCGAACCAAACAAGGCAAAGTCTGAAAGCAGGGAGATTAATTATTTGCTTTTTGGTAAAGGCAAAAGCTTGATGAAGAGCATTTGGTAACTAAATTAATCCAGCAGTATTGGTTGGAAGACATGTTTGTATGGTATAGTTCCTCCACTAGCTTTTCAAGAAAAAAAAAATGTTTACATGCAGACTGTTTGTTCTGACATACTAAACTCTTAACTATGTTAACAGAAACCCAAACTTGCTTTGAAACATTATTAGAGAACCTTAGATGGCTTGTGAGCACTCCTGACAGATCGAGGCTGTCAACAGCCCTGCCCTCTCCAGGCTCACCCTACAGAGAGCCGCAGGTTAGCCAGCAATGACAGTCTTCCCTTAGGAATATGCTTGGATCACTGTTTCTACATTTCTGTTCATTTCTCCCCAAAACTTGATAACCAATGAATTTTATTGGGATTCCTTCTAGAAGCATAAATGCCCCAAAGACAGCGGCATCATCCTACTTTTACCATAGAAACCAGCATGTTGCTGATTACTACCGACTTCTTACTAGGTTACTTCAAGTTAGTTCAACTCAATCAGTAGGTTTCTGAGGGGCAGGTCCCATTCTTTTCCTAACATTCCTAATTATTAATATTTATCAATCCTATAAATTTGTGGGTTATCAAGCTCAATGCTCCCAAGTGAAGCATTGAAGATAGTATTACTAAATCCATGTTAACGATGAGAAAAGAACATAGTAAGGGTTAGAGAAATAAAAAGCCAGTCATTTACATGAAAGTCCTTAGTAGTCTACGTACAGCTGTTTATCAGGAGGTCTTAAGTTTTTCACCAAAGAGTATTGCAACCAAGTCACTAATTTATCTACTTATGTATGATTTCTCGGTGCTTTGGTTTAGACAGAGTCTCACTATAAAGTTCAAGATGGCCTCAGGCTTGACTGTGTCTCATGAGTAAACTTTTTTTTTTTTTTTTTTTGGTTTTTGAAGACACAGTTTCTCTGTGTAACAGCCCTGGCTGTCCTGGACTCACTTTGTAGCCCAGGCTGGCCTCAAACTCACAGCAATCCGCCTGCCTCTGCCTCCTGAGTGCTGGGACTAAAGATGTGCAACACCACACCTGGCTTCATGAGTAAACTTCATACTCTTTTTTGTTTTTTTTCAGCCAGTTTACCCTGCATAACAGTCCTGATCCCAGAACTCACTCTGTACACCAGGCTGGCCTTGAATTCAGAGATCTGCATACCTCTGCCTCCTGAGTGATGGGATTAAAGGCATGTACCACCACTACCCAGCCTAAACTGAATATTTGTAATGATCCTGGGACTCATCTTTTCAACAGTGGCAATACACTTGTTTTGTTCCTTAATGCAAATAAGATATTGGGCTGTGTTTTTTGTTTGTTTGTTTTTTTGAGATAGGGTTTCTCTGTTAACAGCCCTGGCTGTCCTGCAGCTCATTAGTTCTGTAGACAAGGCTGACCTCTAACCCACCTGCCTCTGTCTTCTAAGTGCTGGGATTAAAGGTATATGCTGTCATCGTCTGGCTGAAATGTGTTTAATGCATGGCTAGCTTTGCAATACTTCTGTGAGATAGCTGAGTGAGAACCTCCATTTTCACATCCAGGAGTTGAAGAGAGTAATGTATCCCAAGCTAGTTGAAAGAGGCATGCTAAAAAAAAAAAAAAAAAAAAAAAAAAAAAGGCTCCAGCTTTCAGGACTATTAGGAATGGTCTCTTGTCTGCTTGTCTAAGATCAGGATGCATGTGACCTAGGGCACAGATAATCACTGTTTTCTGTCATTTACTGACTCTTAACATGCCTTTTGACTCTGACTGTGAGTGGGAGATACATCTTTCTTTATCTGTGTAATTGGCAAACAGTTCTACTTTATCTGAATTTTACATATTTGTACATTTTTATATTCTCTTATAAAAGAAAGATTGTACCAACAAAGGAATTATTTCATTGTGATATTCATTTACATATAAACCCAATTTTAGACCACATGGCATACCACAGAAAGTATGGTGCTTGATGACCTTTTATGAAGTGCATCCATAACACAATGCAAGTATGTAAATACTCAAATGTTTTTAGAGAATGAACTGGCTTACTTTTAATACAATACAGCTGTCATCTGTCCGAATTGCTCCAGCTCTGCACATGTAAGTTAAACTGGAATAAAATGACATAAATTACTCTTGTGGTTTAAAGCATTAAAGAAATACTATGTGCCTTTAATAGTTAATGGAAAAAAAAAAAAGCAAACCCATATAGCATCATTTAAGTGACAAGAATCTGACATTCCTCACATAAAATTCAGTTAGCTCAGAAATACAGAAAACATATATAAATAGTAGGCTTGCTTTAAAACAAAACAAGCAAAAACAAAAAAGACCCAACTTCGAAATAAATGCCCCCTTGGGTAGACTGTGGGGATATACTTTTGCAGGTAGGTGCTAGGCATAAAGTAGGTTCTTTTGCTCTCCTCTACACCCCCTTCCTTTTTTCTTTTTCCCGCCTACACTTTTTAATGCTTAAAATTTTCCCTAACAAAAAGGAAAGACATAATAAAACACAATGTTAAAAGGGTTAAGAGTCTTATGTAGGAACAGTCCGAGCCTGCTAGCAGTAGAAATATCACAGAAGACCGTGCAGCTCTCCATCAGAAACAAGGATTCGGAGGTCCCAACCGTAGCTCTGCGGGTTGGTCAGTGAGTCAGTTCTACTGAGAACAATTTACTTTACAATTGTATCTAGCTTTGAATGAGAACAAATTTAATAAACAAATAAAAAAAAATGGGCCAGTGTGCAGAGGTACTTGCTGGCAAGCCTGATACTTTGAGTTCATACTTGGGGGTCCACATGGCCATATGAAGAGAACCATCCCTCATAAGCTGCCCTCTGACTTCCACATGTGTTCAGTGGTGCTCATACGCATGCGCACACAAGCATGCACACACAAAAAAATAAATGTGATTTTTGAAATTACAATAAAAAGAATGTGTATCTCCTAGGCAGACACTGAAGATTCAGTACTGCAGAAACTTAGTGAGCTTTTCTCAATTAGAGTCCCTCAGTAAGCTGGGGGCAGGGACTAAAACACACCACACTTAGCTTTTCCAAAGGCTTTAAGTAAATCAGCAGAACTATTATTTAAATTCTAGAGGGCTGAAATTTTTGTAGAACTGTCATCACTGTCAGACTTATATTTTTTGTTTTTTTTTTTAAAAACCCACTTTCTTGAGACCATTATGTTATTAACAAGAGGCAAATACTCAGTTTGAATCTGAGACCAAGAAAGAAAGAGAATGAGAGAGAGAGAGAGAGAGAGAGAGAGAGAGAGGAAGAAAGAGAAACCTATAATACAAAATTCTGTTTTCTATTGGAGAACTAAACAGCATTGAATTCTGCACAACACATATTCAGCATATTAATGTATTGATAATGCAACAACACTCCAGGTTTTTTTATCTTTGTCTTCCTAGCTGAGCATTTGGAACGTATTGCCCATACCTTATCTACTTCGGTTGTTTCTCCCTAAAGACAAGGAGAACATACGGAAGATTTAATAATTTTCTGTAGACAGTTTTAAATGATAGCCTCGTTCCTCATACCAAGTATAAAAGCCATGTCCAGTTTACAAAAATGTAAGACAGCTTAGTGAATTTCAGATTTCAAACTCCCAACAAGATGGCGATGGGAGTGAGCAAATTATGCCACCACATTCTTATTCCACGGTATTAACAGGGTTTCTGCCCATGCTGTTTTGACTTTTACCATTTGGCTGACGTGAGCTGCATCTCAATAGGCTTATCCCTCTGTAACATCTTCACAAATATCTGAGGTAACAATTCCCCATCGACCAAAACTAGAAATAAGACAAAATCAAAGAGTAAGAAAGTCTTTTAAATCTGTGATGTTCATAAATGAGTCACATAGGTGCCACTGAAAGGTCCAGCCTACCGTTCACCAGGGTCAGCGATACCTGGGGGTTCTCAAAGGCTAAGACCGAGAAGCATTTCAGTGCCTGCATTCGAACCTGAAAAAGCAAACGAAGAAACAAAACATTTATTAATTAAAATTGTTTAATTTTTGAAATATTTCAATACTTCAGAATCTAAATCCTCCTTTTAATAATTATTTAATTAAATAATTAATTTAATTATTATGAGTATGCAGGAGGCACAGCTCTGACAGAACACTTGACCGGCATGTGCAAAGGCCTGAGTTCATTCATTAGGACTATGGGAAAAAACTAACAAAAAGACCAGCTCCATGGTAATAAAAGCAACACCTGCAAATGCAAAGACTACAGCAGAAACCAAGTAATTTTTGAAGTAATAGAGAAAGAAAAAGTGAAAAAGTAGCACTCAAAAATCAATAGAAAAATACGTAGTAAAATCTAGAAAACATATAAAATGTAAGTTTTATAAGATAAAAGGAAGGAGCTTAATAAAAATTACCAAGTGCCTTTCAAGTGGGACAAGTCTTTTTCTGTACAGAGGACTGAATCAGTAAAGGGTTCTGAGCTTTTTTGTTTTGGTTTGGTTTGGTTTCATTGGTTGGAATTTTTTATTTGTTTGTTTTTTGTATTCTTATACATGTGTGGGAAGTGGAGTTGGGACTTAAAACAGGAAGCAAAGTCACCATAAAAGAGGAATTAAGCTATGTTCTACGTTTATGTCTGTAGGGATCCCCACCAGAGCATCTACCAGAGGACCCAGGACATCTCACCACTGAGCCTGAGGCTACACATAAGCACCTTAGGACCTGACTGGCACGGTCCAGGACAAGTAATGTGCTGAGCCTGCCCTCCCCTGGGAATGCTCTGCAGTGCACATGTGCCCTCAGGCGGAGCCTACAAGATGCCGACGACACAGGTGATAGACTATTATTCAAACACTTTCCTCCTCACAAACTCTAACTTTTAAATTTTGTTATGGCCAATAAATCTAGGGAAACTGAAACCTGGGGAATTAATGAAGCTGGAGGATGGCAAAAATGAAGGGGTTATGAATAACTATCTGAAAAAGCTGTTTTTCTTTTCTTTGTTCTTCCAGAAAAGTCTATTTGGACTACCGCACGGGGCAGGCTGCTGGGCAGTAACAAGAGAACCACCAGCACCTCTACAACTGTTTTTTAAAAAAAAACAGTAGATGTATTTGATCTTACCTACCCCCTGCTACATCACTGGCAACTGATGGCTATTAAAGAGAAACGCACTTTTCTTTATGGATGTGGTCACTGGTAGGCTTCCTGTGCCCCAGTGCATGGCCCCCACCCATCTGCACACAGCCAGTACTGCGTGGACTGAGGGAGTTGTTGCTGCTGCTGCTGCTGCTGCTGCTGCTAATAGGACATGAAGTTGGGAGGGAGACAGGGTGGTGAGGACTGATGTGTAGGAGAAGGGAGATGTAATGCCAGTCTCAGCATGCACAAAGCAGAGGAAATGGTTTCAGTACACAGCTTCTTGTGATGCTTTTGGCTAGTTTTGAGCTGTGCCATATGCATTATTACTGCCCTGTATTCACCATGACCAATAACCATGTGGTAGCTATCTAAGGTGAAAATTCGCCATAAGGGAAACTAAAACAGCAGAGCAGACCATTGTTACCACAAGCAGACAGAGAGAAAAATTAGTGCCTCCCTGTAATGACTTACTGAATTTTAACAAGACACAGGACAATGCTCCGTTTCTAAACCCTGATAGGTAGGCAACAGTGAAAGTTTTGACTTGATTTTAATAATAGATTTCAATACTGCTTATCTATATATATCAGATAGTAAAGAAAATTATTAAACCTGAAAACTTTTGACATCTTAACACAAAACAGAATACATTCTAGATGCTGACACATATGTAAGCATATACTGTAGGTTTGAGCCTGTGTGGCCACAGACTAAAAACAAGGTCCAAAGCCTAACCCAATGCAGCCAGCCATGTCCCTATGAAGGCATCAGCTCAAGCAATAGTTTCAGTACTGCAAACTGACTACAGAAACCTGAACTACTACTTCTCAGATGAAAATCCACAGCTCATGGCATAAAATGTCATGAAAGACTAGAGAAGGACAACCTTTTCCAATAGAAGAACATGCTGTAGTAACATTCGCCCTGTACCACTTTTTTGATGGAACATGACAACATGGATGGATGAAAAGAAGAAAAATCTACTCCTGATCACACCTACAGAAAAGGCAATAAAATAAGTAGGCTTCTTCTATCAATGAAAATAAAGATAAAATCTGACACAACTTTTTACATCTTACTTTGTAAGAGGGTGAGGTTAGTAGGTGAGCAATGTTCTGTACTGCCCCATGGTTAAACAAGATTGTTTGATGGTCCGGTCCCTGTAAGAAAAGAGAACACAGTAACACATTAACATAAAGCACAATTCTGATGAAACCTCACTTGCTTAGAGTAAACTACACTCTGCACAGCACAGTTTTCTGAGTTGCCCTATGACCGAACAAACTCAAACCCCAAAGCAGGGCAGACAGGTGTGTGTGTGTGTGTGTGTGTGTGTGTGTGTGTGTGTGTGTGTGTGT